CAGGAAGACAGGAACATCACTTTGAAGGAGCGCTGCATTGTTAGCCTCCCCAGAGAGCTTACAAGTCTCAGTTTGGCTCTGTCCATAAGAGAGGAAAAGGACCTTGACCTTCTCCATCTCTTTACTTTTCCCTGCCTTCTGACACTATTCCAAAGACTGAATTAAAGCAGAGACAATTAACCATCCAAAAAGTACCTCCTGGAAGGGAGGACTGGCTGCCCCAGCTGAGATGATGGTTCAAGTCCAAACAAAGGCTGGGCTTTTCCTGCTCTACCCTCAGCAGCTGGGGCTCCTGCTCCACCCCCTCCCACTCCTGGTACACCCCTGTGAGATTGGGGAGGGGGAGGGTGAGGGGACTGATCAGTCCACTCCATTCGAAGAGCTGTAGGGGCCAACGATTGTATGGAAAAGCTCAATCTCCTGGCATGGAAAGGAATACAAAATAATGTAACATTTTAAAGCCTGTCGACGAGCAAAACTGTATAACAATATATACTGATAAAAGTAAGGTCAAGTTCTAGTCTCTGATGGTGTAAAGCCTTAGTGACAAAAGAAAAGAAGGGAGGCTAACGGCGCCAACTGCTCACTTCTTCGTCCTGCCATCCCTGTCCCGAGACGGTGTTTCTTCTCACTGAGGATGGACAGCTAGACCTTGGGTTTGCAGAGGGGTCATCGCTGGGGTGACTGAGTCTCAAAGCCAGCAGAGGCCCAGAGCAGTGCAGCCCCTGCAGCACCAGCAGGGGCCCTGACTTCAGGAGGAGACCCGCCCCCAATCCCAGACTGTGTGTTAGATGTCTTTCCGTCCCAACCAGTAAGAGGAGTTGTGGGCATAATTCCCATGGCTCAGCCCCTTAACTGTTTTACTTAAGGCAACAATGTTTAACTACAGAAATCAAAGCCCTTCTCTAACCAGGCCTCATTAACCAATACAGAGCTCTCTAACTATGTAACATTTTATAGGAAACCACTCTCTGAACCTAAACATAGTCATTATTTATTCTTCGAGGAGAGACCCTTACAAAGATTCTTCTTTATATATTAAAAAAGTCCACATGTACACGCTAACCTCTGCATTACCTTCTTTCATCCCAGTCCCCAGAGAGAAATCACTACAAACAGAACTGTAAGCAGTCTCCTAGGTATCTGAAGTGTTTGTTACTCTTCATTTCAGAGCCTTAAACATAGAAGGTGAGTGAGGTTCTGTTGACTTTGTATGAATGAGAGCAGTCAGGGTGTCTAATAGGCCTCCTCCAGAATTTTGCAAGATGGTAACTAATTGTAACCAAAGATGAAAGATGCCAACTTGTTATAGAACCAGCCATTAAATGTCAAGGGCAGCACCATCCCAAGAAGCTGCAGTGAGCTTTAAGAACCCACTTGCAAACCTCACCCCTCCTCCTCCAGATCTGCGGTCCGGTTTGCCTGTGTGCTCACGGGAGTGGGGGCGCAGGGTGGTCACCAGCCTCTGTGACCTGGATGTGGGCAGGCGGTTTTCCTATGAAATTCATAAAAAACATTAACAAAGACCCTTTTCAGGCTGTGCAATTTCAACCACTTTGAATTGCTTTTTAAAAATTTCGAAGCTCCCAATTAGCTCTTTATTCTATTTTCCTACCTCTTTAGGTGGCATTACTGCTCGGTTAGGCTGTTGCACTTGTCTCCCCACTGGCTTCCCGGCCCTCCACTCACCCCAGGCCCTCCGCCTGGTTGATGGTCACGGGAGGCACGTGACGCTCCCCGAGTCCGAGCTGTGAGAACAGGACTTCCTACAAATTATCCTCTGTCCTTAAAGGTGCAAGACAAAAGGAAAAGAGGAAGCCCAGCATTGGAGGTTGCAGGAGAGCACAGTAGAGACAGGGGCTTTTTAAGAGCAATCTGGACTCCACTTTCAGCTCTCCTGGCTACATGACTTCATGCAACATAATTCCTCCAATGTGAGAACCATTTACTTAATGATTAAATATGACTGTGAAGAGCTCAGTAGCCATTACAGAAGTCAAATGGTGTCTGGCCTACGGCATGTCCTCATTGAAGGTCCCTTGCCTTATCCCCGTAATTAGCAAGATATGGCATACCTGATGGGCTCATTTACAACATCGAAAGAGGCTGTGGTGAATTGGGGCCAGACGAGGCCCACGTGGGCACCTAGGGGGAACGTGCTGGCTGATGAGGCAAAAGAGAAGCAACTTCTAGGCACTAGTGACCTGAAGTCTCCCGGGAGAGCAGCTTTATGATCTAGGGGACCACAGGTTACAATCCCAGAATTTAAGGGCCAGGGGCCTTCTTTACCCAAGAAAGTTCCATGTTGTCTCTTCCTCCTCTTGGTGTTTATTTCTTCAAAACACCGCTCTGTAGGCTGCACTGCCACCGACTTGTTTGCCGACGTGCCTGGCTTCTCCCTTTGGTTGGGTCCCCTGCGGTTTCCCCACTGTATCACAGAGGATGTGCACACTGCTTTCCTCTTGTGTTTGCACGTTTAACACAATTCGAATGTGTCCCGGGCTTCGAGGGCTGCAGGCACGTGAGCAAGACAGACTTCCAGAGGCACAGCTGTGGCTCTTCTCAGAGAAAATGGCCCACGGAGAGGACAGAAGCACATCACCAAGTCAAGCGATCAGTCACCACGAGGCGCCACCCAGCTGCACTGAATGGAGCCCGGTGTGCCTGCCCCGAGGGAGCTTCCTTATCTCACACCAGTGTCGCCCAGACACAGCCCTGCACTGGTGATGATAAATCAGTGACAAAGTCTACTCCTTCTTCAGCTTTTCCTTTCCTTCCAGGTCAGGAACAGTTCTTAGCTCAAATTTAAGAGCAGATTCACCGGGTGTATTTTTATGATACCAATGACACTAGTTTCCCCTTCCCCGTGGTGATAAAACAGCATCACTTAAAATTACTTATTCTAGTAAAGAAGGTAAATTTGAGGAAAAGCACCATGTTCAGGCTCCCGGCAGCGGGAGGGCCTCTGTGAGCTGCCGAGGTCTGCGTGGGGCCCGGAGGAGCTGTGGGACTGCTGGGGCGTCTTCCCGGCCCTGGCTGCCCGGGGGGCTCAGTCGGATTTTGGCAGGGAGGAAGGACCTATGGACCCGAGCGGCAGATCACGTGCAGGTGCCTCAGAGAGGGGCCCTTCTCCTGGGCCTGGGGTCCTCCTGGATGTGCAGCCCGCACGCTCCCAGCACCTGGACGCAGCAAACCCAAGCAACCGCATTCACGCACAGGCTGACCAAGAAAACCCAACTGCTTTACTGTGAAGCCCCGAGTAACATTTCCACACCGCACAGCTGCTTCCCTCACAGAATCAGAGTGTCCTCTAATCAAAGGTTTTAAGAATAGTTTTTACAGAAAGAACTCACTAGTCTCAGGGGTGTAAAATAGAAAGCAAAGATCAAATAAATTCCTTTGCGGATCTTTAGGCTGGATTTCCTCAGACTCGGGAGCCCCTTCCACCCCCCCTCCACCCTGTCCCGGGACCTCCTGCCTGCTGCGCTCCCTGGCAGGTCAGCCTCCTGGGAGCAGGGCTGTCTGCGCCCCTCCCCGCCCTGCCGCCATCGCTGCCCCGTCCTCGCCTCCACTGCACAGCGTGATTCTGGCTACAAAACAGTGGCAGAGACGGCAAATCCCAGCTTTGATTTATTTAACATAAATGCAGCACAGTAGGTCCTGTTTACTTGAGGAGGGGAGGAGTGTGTGTGTATTTTCTCTTCCCTGCTCTACAAGACCCTGGTGTGGACAAGAGGCAGGGGCCTATTTACTGGCTCCATTCCTTGCAAGCTGCTCCTCGGTGCCCAAGCCCACTTCTGAGGCCCGCGGAGAAGAGGGAGAGAATGTGAGAGCGCGTGTGTGTGAAATCATGTGAGAGCGTGTGTGTGTGAGATCATGTGAGAGCGTGCGTGTGTGAAATCGTGTGAGCATGTGTGTGTGAGATCATGTGAGAGCGTGTGTGTGAGATCATGTGAGAGCGTGTGTGAACTCATGACCCTGTGGAGTAAACCCCCGGGGACATCTATACTTCATCAATGGGATCGAAATGACAATTTCCAGAAGAGGTGACATTTTATGTATCGACCATCTAAATCTAAACTGAGGACTCAGCTGGGCAGAGTGGGAGGCTGTTGTGGCTCAGTGGACTGAGCGCTGGCCTGCAAACAGAAAGGTCACTGGTTTGATTCCTAGTCAGGGCACATGCGTGGGGGGCGGGCCAGGTCCCCGGTTCCGGTGTGCACGAAGCAACCGATTGATGTATCTCTTGTACATCAGTGTTTCTCTCCCTCTCTTTCTCCCTCCCTTCCCCTCTCTCTAGAAATAAACAAATAAAATCTTTTAAAAAGCAGGGAAGTGGACCACTTCGTTATTCTCTTGAAGGGGTTTTAAAGAAGGTTTATGGTGGCTATCTCCAGGTGGGTGGCTTATGAATGGTTTAATTATCTTTTATAGTTGTATTTTTAAAAGTTGTTACAGAGATATTATTATCTGTATTGTTAGGAGACTCCCAGGATTATTAATAAAATACCTCAACCTCGACCTGGGTGGATCGCCTCCTCCCCCGCCGCGCACAGAGCTCTGCGGCCAGGCCCCGGCAGCGCCTCTGCTCTGTGCCGCCTGGTTGGCGGGCTCCCATGGCGATGGAGCGAAGGTGGAAGGGGGCGGCGGCCACCTGGACACCGACTGCGCACACCTGCTCGCAGCGACTGCTAAGGGTGGTCACCAGGTGGGCAGGCTGGTCTTTCACTGGCTTGACAATGAACCAGTCTACAGAAGCCATGGCTATTCTCTTGGGCAAAAATAGATTTTAAAGTTTCAGAGATGGCTGGGAAAGATAATAAAAATGAGCCAATATATTTTTAAGATTTTGATAAAAACTACCTAACTTAAAATTGACCATTTTAACCATTTTAAAGGGTACAATTCAGAGGCGTCAGTTCACTTGCGATGCTGTGGACCATCGCCTCTGCCTCTGCCTGAACTCCTCATCGCCCGGGCGGAGACCCCACACGTGCAGCTGACACATTCTAAGAGACACATTTAATTATTTTTGTCCCCTACATGTGGAACAACAGTGAAGTGACAAAGAAAAACAATGAAATAAACAGATCCCTTCTTTAAAGGTAAACACATTCAGAAAGAAATGACATTAATACTGCTAATGACAACCTATGAATCTGTCCACATTCCGGCACAGAGAAAGAAAATCTAACAACATGCATTCTATTATTGGTTAACTAAAATCTCAGATAAAAGTTTTACAGAAAATTAAGTCTTTAGAATTTAAACCCACTGAGTGATGAATAACCACACTGTCCACAGCAGTGAAGGCGCCAGAACCAGGGACGGCTGCTGAGGGTGCAGCAGGGTGAGCAAAGGGGTATTGTTGCCTAATAGCCTCCAATCTGCAGTATTAATGGATTAGAAGAATCCAGAAGGAACATCTATGAACTAGGCTCAGTTAGTTCATAAATCTGCCACAGGCTTGGGAGTGAGAGGTGACCGCGTTGGGCTGGCCGGCTGCCAACCCAGGAGAGGGGTACAGGTTGGTAATGTGTCTTCAGGTCTAGCACCATTCCCTTCCAGCCATATTTTAATGCAATCCAGGTGAGTGGTGACCAGAAAATACAGCTACTCAACTGAACGATGGCTACACCAGGAGCTCTATCATATTATCTGGTGGTTTTAGTTTCTAGTATCCTACGAAGAACAGACTGAACCGAGGATTACTGGCAAAAGAAGAGTCGCTTTGGTGGCATATTCCACCCCACCCGAGTGGACACCATGACTTCACTGCAGCACGTCCTGCGCCTGCCCAGACATGAGGACTGTGCTCCTGCCCCAGGAGGACAGCGTGAGAACAAAAGAGCAATGGTTGGAAGATATTTATATTAGCCCTGCATTCAGTTCACAGTGTGAGACTTTCTCACTTGCTCACTTGTCCATTCATTATTTTGTAAAAAGTGAACTGAGTGCCTTCTATGACGTACCAGGCACTGCACCAGGCATTGGTGATAAGCAGCAAATGAAACGGTGGAGCTAATACAAACAGATCCCCATGAATAGAGCATTAGTGGGACTGGGAAGGGCTGGCTGGTCACCCTGTGCAGCCTCTTTCCTCACCCCAGCACCTCAGCGAGAGCAGTAACACTGGGAGGGTAAGAGGAAGGTGGATGTGCCTTCCTGGCTTTACCGAGGCCGGGTTCCCAAACTCGGCCATTCCCTCGTCACGCTGCCCACTTGCCTCATCTCAGAACAGCATCCTTTTCCGGTTTTTTCCTCACTGCTGGAGAAGAGCAGTGCGACACTTACTATGTTATGAGAGAAAGCTGCAGTTGTGATCAAAAACTCCATGTAACTAGAAATATCCTCACCAGACAGATGACGCAGACCCAAGCCTCGCCCGCCCAGGCCTCTGCGTCTACCCTGAGCACGCTCATGGAGCCAGCCGGCCCTTCTCTGGGCAGGGCTGTCACTTGGGTTCAGGGACAAAAGGCAGGCAGGGTTCAGAGTTCCGAACACCAGTGGTGCTCAGAATGGAGAAGCAAAGCAGCTTCTTAGGTGCAGGATGGATGCCTGAGTCAAAAGGAAAAAAAAATGCAGGAGAGTTGGGGGTAGCAGGAAGTCTAGACAAAATGAGCAAAGGCTGGGGGGAAATTTGGGGACGAAAACACAGTTCTTTACTGTAAAAACCAGAACCAAAGAGCAGGCATACTGCCATGCTGACCTTAACAGTGAAACGGGCCTCCTGCTCTGCGACAGGATGAGTGATGAGGTGGGTGAACAAGGGCCGAGCAGGGCGGGCTGTTCACAGGGAACGCCTGACCACGACCTCTCAGGCAGGGAGAGCCCCTGACCAAGAGCACCATGAACAACTGTCTGCTCCCTTCATTTGTTACAAGAAATGTGAGTCACTCCAATAAAAGCTGGCTATTGGCACAGGGAAATCTAACGTCTGACTTGTGAGGCAAAAGGAGCCAGCAGTCGCAGCCTCCAGGACTCCGTAACTTCCTATTTCAAATCAAGTTCCCGGCTGTCCCATGGCTCCGGAAAAGGGGATGAACCCGATCACCCTCTCCTTCCGACACCCACCCCAGCCAACGGCAGGAGTGCTCCAGATTTTATCAGCTTCTTAAATGCACTAGGTGTTGAAAGCGGACGCGTCATTGTGGTTTCAGAGCAAGGGAGGGGACAGGTGAACGCAGGGTGGGAGAACAAGTGAGATGAGAATCATACTAGTAAAGGTCTGACGTCCCACCTGCCACAGAAAGGTTTCCCGGCCCCCACCCGAGGCCGCCCCAAATCCTACATCCAGGGGCCCCAAGCCCCAGTGCCCTTGGGATCGCAGCGGGGGTCCTCGTCCGGGAAGGACACGGGCACTGAGTGTTTGTGGTAGAACTGGAGCCGGGAAAGGAGATGCTTGACGACATGGGGGTGTTCCTTCGACAGGTCGTGTCTTTCTTCTGGGTCCTTCTCAATATCAAAGAGCCAGAGGGTCTTGGTTGGTGGGTCCGGTGCGGGTATCTCGGAAACACTGTGTTGAGACGGTGGAGGGAACCAGTGACCACAGCCTGGCAAAGAAACACAGAGTTCAGTGGGGAGACATGCTAGGCAAGTTCTAACCTCGAGAAATGAGCCCAGGGGACAAAGCTGAGCTGGGTTGTGGGTGTGGACCCACGAAAAAGATGGGGCCCTTGATGCTGTGTTTAGATCTGAGACTCTGACTTCTGGTGCTTTAATGAGACCTGTCTCACTGTCTTACACCAGGGGCATCTGGGGATGTGAGTGCACATATGTGTGAGTGGGGGAGGCAGGGCGGATTTTTACCTGTGACTTGACTTGGAGGGGTGGGTGCTATTGGCATTTAGTGGTCATGGGCTAGGGATGCTAAAATGTCTTGTACCATGTGGCGCAGTCCCAAACAATGAAGAGTCACTACTGCCAAGACTGTCCTCATTATCAACACTGAGTAATTACATCATAACCTTAACCATCATGCCACATGTGAAGGGTATTTAACAGACATCCCTCTCACAGAACGTGCTCAGGGGAGGCAGCCCCCTCCCACAGCCACACTGAGGATGTACGCAGCTTCCAGAGACCCCCCTCGCGGTGCCTGGGAGCTACACAGATCCTAATCCTTAGGCTTCCATGACGCTGAACTAGCATTTCTTCCTTTTACTCCTCCTGCAGCTAATTCTCAGTTTTGTGGGGAGGGGGTCAGGTTTAGTAGATCACGACACCCCTTCCTCTTCCTTGTTCAGCTGTTTCATTCAGCAGCCCCAGAGTTATCTTTTGCAAAGGGCGGCTGTCACAGTTTGGGAAGTAATGAGCCTTCTACCTGGGTAGCCCGTGAGGAGTTTCCAGTTTCCGTGTCTAATTGCGGCATGGACAGACGTGTTGAAGGCCGGATATTCTGGAAGAGAAGAGTCATCCTTTGCTGGAGCTGTGCTGTTCCCAGGACCTGGGAAGAAACAGTTTGGGAGAATTAGATCACTGTTCTTGGAATGTGACATTATAAATCAACATTTTATTTCCTTCTTGCAGAACAGTAGCTTTTATTCAACGGTGGAGAGCAAATGTGTATCCTGCCACAGAAATGAATCTTCTATTAAGTATAAACAGAGCCATAGTTACATTAAACATCAGTCATAAACCACTGCAAATATAAAGGAAATCCCGAAGAGATTAGAATACTAATTCATCCTTAAAATCAGTGTGTTCTGCCAGCGCACAGCTGGCCATGTGGAGAACAGTGCTCTGCTATAGCATGGTGGGTAGTTTTTGTGTGTTTTGCTTTTGCTGTTAAGTGACTGAATTAAATACATTTTTCTGTGTATACTTATACCTTTATAGATAATATAATGCTCTATAAAATGAACATTTTAATGGAGCCCATCTCAAGCTATGAGAGGTCAAGCATGCCGTGATAAATAGTACATATATTCATTTTTGTAACCACAGGTGTGAAATCCAAAAGTAATTGAGCGGTGCTCAGTTAACCATTCAGACGGGATAATTACGGGCGCGGGAATAAATGTGGGACACAAATCACTGGCTCGCATCGTGGATGACGTCCATTTATCATCTTGAGGTCTTATATTAATTGATCAATCAGGATTTCTGAGGAGAACCATTAATACCTGTCCCCCCCCCCTTTGACTTTGGAACTAATTGAAAGGTAGAGGACAGACAGATGAAGATGAAAATATTGCTTTTGTTACTGATAAACTTGATTGGAGAGAACACAGTTTCAGACCCGAGACAGAGAGGTTTTGCTCATAACTGAACTTGACTTAGAAAGACTCAGCCACCCATCACTGACTGATCTTGCTGCACACGCACCAGGCTCTCAGAATGCACAGCTCAGGGCTGGCAGTACTCCTGCAGAGCCCAGGGACACGCTGGCTCCAGATTTCAACAGACACAAGGGTCTCAGTCAAGCAAGCTGAGCTCCTTCTTTTGGATAAATCCCTCCTTCACCTTGCCTGTGGGGAGGAGGACTAAAGTCCAGAGAGACCTGAGCTTTACTGGAGCTGAAGACACTGGTGGGCGTGGTATGGATGTTCTCCACCTCACTCCTTCCTGTCTGTTCAAAAGCCTCAACTTAGCCCTGGCTGGTGTAGCTCAGTGGATTGAGCGCGGGCCTGAGAACCAAAAGATCGCTGTTCGATTCCCCGTCAGGGCACATGCCTTGGTTGCAGGACAGTTCCCAGCAGCAGATGCACCAGAAGCAACCATACACTGATTAAAAAAACAAAAAAAAGCCTCAACTCAGGGCCCAACTCTATCATATTCAGGCTGTTTTAAGTCCACTTGAACATGGTCACAGCAATCACGTTGGGGGCACTCCTGAAGTCAGCCAGACTGCCCCCCGCAATGACTGAGAGCCGTAGTTTGCGACGTGTCTGTAAAAGCGCACGCTGAACCACAGTGGTTGGTCCGTCCATCCACTGTCCCGTCTTTGAGGACTTTGAGAGTGCCCTCCTCCCTGCCAGAGTGGGACTTCTGCGCTGCTCAGGGCTCAGTGCAGGAAGCACTGTCCATGCAGCAAAGGGCAGGGCCCCAGTCTTATGTCAAGTCTCATGGAAATGACCCTAAAGACATACATACTGGAGACTGAGCCAATCACTGTTGGTGGTTTCAGACCCCCAGTCTTAACAATCACATACCAACAAGTCATTAGCACCCAAGAGGAAATCTTTCTGACTTGCTTCTCTGTTTGCTTCTGGCTATTTTGGATGCAATACAGAGGAGGCATCTGGTGGCCGGGGTGCCTGAGGCTGTCTGTCACAGGAAGTGAACTCTTCACGTTCAGACTGTGGTGGACCTGTGAGCCCTCGTCACACGTCTGTGTGAAGGCCACAGTCAGACCCCAAAGAATGTGAAATAAAACAAGGCTGCTTTGTGAACACACACAAAAAGAGGAAATTTAGCTATCTCACCATACGTATATTTACATACATTTTTTTTCTTAAAACAAATGTAAGACTAAACAATAAATAAGACTAAATGATGAAAGCTGTTGTTATCTCAATAATATTTTTCATTTTTGGAAATTAAACAACGGGAAAATTACAAGGACTGCTACAACTGACACCCTGTTCGCTGCCACCCAGAATGAAGAGCCGTTAACATTTTGTCATATTTGATCTTCTTTATTAAACAGGACAACGAAGATGCAGTGACAGGCTCCCTGTCCCCGTTCTCAGTCCCTTCCTCCACTCCCCAGAGGCCGCTGCTTCATGATGTCGGTGCACAGTGTCTCCTCCAGCCATTTAAAACTATGTTAACATATGAGTGGGGGACCCAAACACCTTGGGTTTATTTATAAAACACTGTGGACTTATTCTTACATATTTAAACTTCAGTCACCTTCAAAGTGCTCTCTATTTGATGCAATACACCTATTGAGAAGTTTTTTCCACGGCTCAACACCGTTTTGAACTCGTTGATTTCGATGCCTTTTAGTGCTTCTGCCGTTTTTTGTTTCACCTCTTCCACATCAGCAAAACGCTTACCTTTGTGGATTTTTTTCCATCAAGAGAAACAAAAAACATTGCTTGGAGTGAGATCAGGTGAATAGGGAGGGTGGAGCATGGGGCTCTTGCCGTTTTTAGTCAAAAACTACTCCACACACAGTGCAGTGTGGGCAGGTGCACTTGTAGATCACCCATCAGAAAATGGGCAAACGCACTGAAAGAGTCTTCAAAAAAAATTCACTGAAGCCCAGTGCAGCCTCTCTCAACAACACCAGCTGGTACACTGATACAGATGGGTTCCTAGAACACTCACCGTGTGGGGGAAGCCTGTGTACTACAAGGGGTTCGACTTCCAAAAGATAATTCCAATGTTTTTTGGGATTCCCCCCTTGTATATATGAGGTCTGTCCAGAAGGTATCGAGCGATGTATTATGAAAAATAGAGACATTTATTTAAAAAGATACAAGACACAAGAAACATTGTACAGAGGACAATGAAACCTCAGTCCCGTTCACAGTGGGCACCTTGGGACCTCACACAGTTCTCCCTATCACCATCGGCTCCCACGTCATATTTTCCTGAATCTCATCGATGGGTATGAAATCTCTTCCCTTTTAAAGGTGATTTGAGTTTTGGGAAAAGCCAGAAGCTGCAGGGCACCACATCTGGGCTGTAGGGGGGCTGGGTCACCTGGGTGATTTGTTTTGCCAAAAACTCTGTATGAGACGTGATGCATGAGTGGGCACGTTGTTGTGATGAAGCTGCCAATCACCAGTTGCTCACAGCTGTGGCCTTCTGAATCATCTGGATAGTTTCCACATAGAGATGTTCAAGCTTAAAGCAAAATTTGATGCAGATTCATCGCTCTACTCAGTCATTTTGAATGTGACAGCCACGGAGAACATACATGCTCACTCAATGGCTTCTATCGCCCCCACTGACTAGTACAGTGAAGTCATCATTGTTCACGCATGTGCATTCCAATTCACTTTCCTTGGCTGCCAGGTTACATCAATGTCATGCAAACCATTCTCATTATATTAACAATGGTTGAACTTTTTCCAGACAGACCTCGTATGTGTTAAGGAATAATGTACAGTACTGTTTAACTTTTAAAATGTATGTGTGTGTTATGCTTTACATTTTCCGCATTTGTTTTTCATTCACAATAGTATTTTTAGAGCTCTGTGATTCTAAGTGTGTATATATATATGTAACTGTTCAGAATTTCACCATAGAAAAAACACATTTTTATCCTGTTGATGGGCTCTTAGGTTGCTTTAATTTTATGTAACATGTTGCTTACAGCCCCTGTGCACAGGAATGAGGGCTCCTCCAGCATGTGTCTGCCCCGCTGCAAGGTGCCCACGCTTCCAACTTTACAACACATACCGACTGGCCCTCCTACCAGTCACGTCCCTATTTCTCCACATCCTCTACCTGATACCTTCAGATTTAAAATTTTCTGCCTAGCTAAAAATTTTAGAGGGAATCTATAGCTTAAAAAAAATCATTTGATCAGCAATAATATCTTTTTTTTTCTCTGTCAATCCAAAGGTTGCTTTGAAAACATTTTAAAATAACACTCCTAGGGAAATGAGCACAAATCACACTTGGAGAAGAGTGGATTCTCCCTTGTAAACACCAGTCCACTCAAGAAATAGAACATTTCTAGGGCTTCAGAGACCCACGCCAGAAGCCTCCAGTTACCACCCCCTTATCCCCAAGGTGACTGCTAACTTCATTGCTGTTTTCATTGTTAACAGTGTATGAAATAGACTATCGACATGAGAGATAAGAGGCAGAGATTTCTTAGAGTGTTAACAAACTTTTGGAATTTCTCTGATAGAGTTGGATTAGATACATATTTAAGAAATATTTATTGGTGAACAACTATGTGGTTAAGAAAGCTTTGTGTTCTGAAATTCTATGACACAAAGTACCGTACTTTGTCATGTATAATGTGTACTTTCTTGGCTAAATTTTTGAGGGAAAAATAAAGAAGAGTATTATACATGGGTATTACTAATTTTGTATCTATATAAATGTTTTTAATTCTTTTAATTATGTTTCTGCATTAAAAGTATAACTCTAGAAAGCAATAATAATATCCATATGCAAAATAATACCCTGGACTATGATAATTGGTTTTGTTTCTAAGTGTAAATAAATAAAAAATTAAACTGAAAGATTTTTTTCCCTGAGAACCTGGACCCAAAACGTGTGTGCCCGTTATACAAAGCTAAATACAGTAATAAGCAAAGAGACATTTAAGAGAAGTTTTGAATGTAAAGTCTATGCTATTTAGGGACTAAAAGTTGTAAGTAATAAAACAATAAAACTTTACGGTATCAGGTGTGGTGACTGGGGGAACAGGGTTGCTGCGGGCAGAACAGAGGTGCTGCAGCAGGACAGTGGTGCTGATGTGATTCTGAAGCTGGGCACACTGACTTTAAAGAATTAGTATGAGCTCAGGGTGGA